CTGAACCCTGCACCCTAAACCCTATAGACCCTAAATCCTAAACCCTAAACCCTAAACCGACTGGCCTCCACCGGCTTGTCGTTTCCTGCGGACTCGCTGGCCGCTGCTTCTCCGAAGTCGGACACCTGGCTCATCTCCCCAAGGGCCCAAAGTGCCTATCTATGTGTCTCTACATATATATATATATATATATGCATATATATATGCATATGTATATATATATATATATACATGTATATTTATATATATATATATATGTTTAGAAACAGATATATGCGTGTATACATATGTGTATCTCTATATATGTATACATGGAGAGAGTAGAATGCATGGATTCTATGTTTTTTGGAATTACTGTATGGTTTGGAAGAGTCTTGCCCATAAGGGTACCTCGAACGCTTTGGGTCTTTACTTACAGGATCAATCAGGGTTCAAAGGGTTCAGGGTTTCAGTTTTGGGGTTTAGACTTCAGGGTTCAGGGTTTAGAGCGCCTGCCCACAGCTTACAAGTATATTATGCTTGCAAGCAACTGTGCGGTAGGGTTCAACTCGAAACGTGCCTGAAGGATCAGAGGAGCTGGTAATTAGTAAGTCGAGTTGCAAGAAAGGTAGTTATACTTATACCCATCTATACAGAAAACCACAGAAGTATCTATAACACCAATTATAGAAGTATCTATAACACAAAGAATACCTTCTGAAACCAAAAACCCTAAACCCTAAACCCTTAAACCCCTACTTCAGAAGTCCCCTGGGTCCCCAATTTCCACGGGTGGCTCCAGGCCTGGTTCTGGCTTAGGACATAGGTTTCTTGGAGGATCATGGGACTTAGTAAGTAAGGTTATAAGTCCCTTAATTGGTGTTATAAGTATAGTTACCCCAATTATAGCCCTACTTACTACGTCCCATGATCCTTTAAGTAGGTTTTGGGGTATCGGGAGGACGGCTAAGGATTACAGGCGGGGGTTTAGAGTTCAGCGTTGAGGGTTTATGCAAGATGCCACTCGGACGATCCAGAAGCACCATGACTTGTGGGGGTTTGAGGGTTTAGGGCTTAGGGTTTGGGATCCAAGGTTAAGTCTTTAGGGCAACTTAGCGTCGGTGTAGCGCAGCCTTGAGGTTAGGTCTTATCCCAAACCCCCGGGAGGATCTAAAAAGTAGAACCCCTAACTTGGGACCCTTACCGCAAAGGGTACTTTATAGGAAATCCCTTAAGGGATCTACTTTTTGGATCCTCCCGGGGGTCTGGGATAGAGTTATAGAGGCTTCAGGGTCCTTAAAACTCATTCTGCTGCACTGGGGACACGACCCGCGCACGCCGCGCCGCCTTTTCAGCGGGGCTCTCTTTGGCGCGGACCTGTGAGCAAGTGCAGTAATCTCCGCGTTGGGTAGACGACGGGCATTCTCAAACTACGGCAGAGCTCAGCGTGTTATAAAAACTGCTTCACTTGCAGCGCCACTCACTAGGGACATACTCACTATGCAGGCTGTTGTCATTATGCAGCAGGATGCTACCAATTCGTGACTGCCACATTACATCGCCCGTGGGCACCTGCAAATCCCTAACCATCCTGCGACAGGAAGCTTTCTCAAGCCGAGCTGAGGGCATGGGTAGTTATAAGTAGGGTAATAAGTTATAAGTCCCCAAATATGGGATATAATTACAGTTAACGTACTTATAACCCCACTTTTAACCACCACCCATGAACCTCCAAGTGTGGTCTCGGATTTTGTACTTACGGTTCCTTGTTTGGGGATCTGGGGGCATGAAAGTTCCGAACTCCAAGAGGACTTGAAAACTCCAACGCCGAAAGCCGCAAAACCTGCAAAATCCGATCCGTCCCTAACACCCCCAAAGCAGCAATGTAGGGGCCTTATAATAATTAGAATAGGGTTTTGGGGTCCTTTCGAGTATACTTACAAAAAGGAACCCCCAAAATAGTACGTAGAGGTAATTATAAAATCCCCTACATCACTCACAATCACCTCATCAAGCCTCCAAACCAGCCTGCAGGTTCTAAACCCCCGATCCTCTGACCCTTAAACCCTAAACCCTCCTAATGGGGACCGAGAAAATCACCAATACTACTTTGGGGGCTCCTTGCAACAGTTATAGTGCAATATATACCTCAGAACCCTATTCCGCTTCAGGCCGCACTCTAAACCCTAAACCCTAAACCCTGAACCCGAAACCCGAAACAGTGAACCCGAAACCCTAAACCCTGAACCCGAAACCCTAAACCCTGAACCCTAAACCCTAAACCCGAAACCCGAAACCCTGAACCCGAAACCCTAAACCCGAAACCCGAAACCCGAACCCGAAACCCGAAACC